AAATATTTTGATAAATGTTTGACACACCTTTTGTAACTGACTCAATGAATGTATTTTGAACAGTTAAAAGGATTTTTCAACTGACTCCAAAAGTATATTATTTTTATATTAATTCTCATAAAAATAATTTTGGAGAAAGAATATTTTGGTCATCCTTACAATTATTCCTAAGACTCAAATAAATAAAAAGGTCATCGGAAATCTTCTACTCCTCCGAGTCATCCGTTAGGCGCTCCGAACGCATCTCGGACTCCAATAAAATCCTGTGCAGCTTCTTGAATACTTCAAGGAATTTGCACTTCAAGACTTCGTGTTTGTCGTTGTAGCACTTTGATCTTGACTTGAATAAATTGTGTTTGTCAATTATCAAAACCTATGAGTCAACACTTAACAACACAGAAAGGGTTGAACTCATGCATTCCAACAAGAATAAGTAATAAGTAGAAAAAATAAGTTGAACGAAACGCTACCTTAAACAATTACACCTACAAAATATAGACTTATCATAACCAAATAGATTAACTTTTCTCCTCATATGAGAACTCTTCATGGTAATTTGCATCCTTAAATTCCACATTCATTTACAATTTCTAAAGAAGAAAATTAAAAAATAAACGAAATATGTTGCCATATTAATTAATTAATGTTGACATTAATAAAATAAAAAACAATAGAAAAAAGGCATTCATTTTAAAAGATAAATACATTTTACCCTTCGCAAGCTCTTCATAAAATTTCTTTTCTTCAATTGTTAGCTCATGCTGTAAAGCAATGTGAGTAAAACACGACTAATCACCCAACCACTAATATTAAAACACGATTCAGAAGCAATTGTGGATATCGAAATTGCTATAATATCTCTAGTAATACATCCCAAGATTGAGTATTTAGAAACCTCATCACTCTCCACCAATTCAAAACATCAAAATTTGAGTTATCCCACTTTAATTGCATCCAAAATATACCTATCCACATTGTTGTTTGCAACACGTCCTTTTGTGCTCTCTTTTTTTCCTCCTATTCTACCAACTTCCTCTCAACTTGCGTCATTGGTAAAATAGAATTCAACACAAGTGAGGTTGGAATCAGCACCACTACTAGTGTTTGGTTAAATTGTTTGAGAAGAGAAAGATCCACTTGGTACAAATATAGGAAAATGCTAAAAACCCCCCACCCTTGCTACCACCCATGCTCCCCCTACATAAACATGTGGTAGGGAGGCAAGAAAATTAAAATTAGAGGGTAGGTGGAGAATAGGTAGAGATAAATATGTGGTAGAGAAGTGGATGGAAGCAAGGTTGATAGCAAGGGTGGGGGGTGTGTAGCATGGTCCACAAATATATTATGTAGAGAAAGAAAGAACTCCTGCACCTTAGAGATGGTGTCATCAACCCTTTAATCAAGTTCCCCATAAATCAACTCCAAATAATCACCAAGTTTCTCAAGCTTATAACGTGGGTGAAGAACCATTCCAACAAAAATATAGTTATTCACCTTGGTTTACCATGATTGTACGTCGCGCATCCCCTCCCCCTTTTCATTTTTCAACTCAATAAATTTAACACATATTCAACTTCAATTCATCACTCTCATCCCTCATCTCTCTCAATTCATTCTTATTTCATTCAATTCACTTTTAGTTTTTGTAATTTTAATTTAAAGCATGTAAAAAATTTCTTTTTATTAATGTAGTATTCGATTTAATTTTAATTTTTTTCTTACAATAAATATTTGTATTAAATTTTTATAAGTTTTAAGTTAAAAATGATGAATAATGTAAAAGAAACGGAGAGGTGGATTTTCAAGAAGATATAATTGCAGGATTTTGAGGCGGGGCTGAAAGTAAGTGGAAGGTTGATGTGACAGGAGTTGGGACATGGCAAAATTGCTCCCCATTGTAAAGGAAAAGGATAAGCTCCATCCCGAGGGTCTCATCAGATCCGGCTAGACGATCACTGAGAAGAAGTAAATAAATGTTCCTCATTGTAAATACTCTAATGTCACACCGTTCCAAAGTTATATATACTCCATATAAATTACTACTCCATACGGAGTATAAGTCAATATATATGCAACAATGTATTTATTTATTTTCATTCATTACTCATCTTAATTAATCAACTAAATATTCCGTACTTCGTAAAATGCTATAGACTAACTAGTACGAATAGTTGAACTTTTCCACTGGCTTGAGTGGTATGAAGCCCATTCCTTTAGGTTCATGGGGAAGTTCATCCTGATTCGATACTACATTGTAATAAAGTCAATATTACTAAAGAAATCCCTTTAGGTAGCAATATAAAACCACCAATATTACATAAATACCACTCCCTTAATTTTTTTCACTTAAATGGGAATTCCAGCGTGAATACATTCCCATTATACCCTTTTAATAATTTTTTGACTTCTTTAATTTTAGAAGTTGAGTTATTCTCTTTCCATGAATGTAGCGGTTACGTTATACTTCCTCTGTCCAAGTTGAAACTTCTCATTTTGACTTAACATGAGTTTTAATATAAAGTGAAAAAATGAGAAGATTTTCCTATTTTGCCCTTCACTTTTCTCCTTATTCAACGTGTTCCAAGTATCATCCATCTCCTTTGTTTTTTTCTTCCTCCACCCTACCCGTTATAGGAATGCAACCCTTTTTTGTGTTGTTAAGTGTTGACTCACAAGTTTTGATAATAGACAAACACAATTTATTCAAGTAAGATTAAAGTGTTACATCAACAAACATGAAAACTTGAAGTGCAAATTCCTTGAAGTTTTCAAGAAGGTGCACATGATTTTATTGGAGCCTGAGACACGTACGGAGCACCTAACGTAGGACTCGGATGAGTAGAACATTTCCGAAGACCTTTTTATTTATTTGAGTCTTAGGAATATTGGTAAGGATGAAAAAATTATCTTCTCTCCAAAATTATTTTTATGAGAGTTAGTATAAAAATTATATTTATTTTAGGAGTTAGTTGAAAATTCTTTTAACTGTTCAAAATACATTTATTGAGTCAGTTACAAAAGGCATGTCAAACATTTATCAAAATATTTATTTTGATATTAGAAAATATTTTTGGAAACAAAATATTTTATTCAAATATTTTTTGTGTACATCGTTTGACACTCAAAATATTTTTAGGAGTCATTTTCTACACCAAAAACACACTCTCATAATTCAAATTTGAATTTGAATTATATTTCTTAATTGAGGGAGTCTCTTTCGGTCTGATTTCTTGTCCCAAACAAATGCTCAAAGCCAAAACACCTTTCACCCCGCACACATGTTTGTCCCCTTCATATTTGTGCATCTTTGAGGTGATAATCGATTATCACTTCTTGATAATCGATTATCAGCCCATCAGCTTTGTACTCGATTTTTAGAATAGTTTGATAATCGATTATCATATGTTGATAATCAATTATCATGGTTTCGATCCCAACCAAGAATCTTCTAAAAGTTCTGATAGTCGATTATCAGGAGTTGATAATCGATTATCAGTGTTATCGTTTCCCTCCAACGGGTAGATATTTTTTGGACAAAATGCAATAATTGATTATGGCAACCCAATAATCGATTATTGAGGTGTTTTTCAGGAAAACTCATTTTTCTTTGGACCAATGGATATGTTCTTTCAATCCCTATTTAAACGTCATTCCTTGGTCATTTTACAATGAACAAACACTTCAAAACTCCCATATCTTGAGATTATAATCCTCCATTTCATTCTTTCTCAAATTCATATATTTTGAGAGAAAACTATTTGTTTTCAAGAGAATGTTCTTGTCATCCATTAGAGCTTAAATCATTTCTCATTTCTACTCTTGTTAGAGTTTATGTTGAGAGGTTGAAGAAGATTGTTCTTCTTGTTGTACAAGACTTATGTGACTTAAGTCTTGGTTGTGAAGTCTTGTAGAGGGCATATGTACGAGCGGTTGTGTCGAGGCTTGTGGGATTCAAGTTCTCGAGTTGTAAATGGTTTTTTGAGAACCCGTAAGCTTAACGGTAGTAGTGGTAGATTCGAGAGAGTCTCTCGGGGCACTGAACGTAGCCACACGTTGTGGTGAACCAGTTTATATCGGTGTGTTATTTGTCTTCTCTCTTTTATTTCTGCTGCATTTTCATTTATTTTATAATCCTGCGAAAAACGGTAAATATTCTCAACAACTTTATTCACCCCCTAGAGTTGCACTCATTGCATAACACCCGTTTTAAATGGGTAACTTTAAATATGTTTTAATTCCATTTTAGGAAATGCGAATAATTAAGTGGGTTGACCACAAATGGAAAGTGAGAAGAAGATATGAGGCTGAAAGAGTATGCATTCTTTACGGAGCCGTGCCATTCAAACCCCCCATAACGACAGTGTGGCTTTAATGGTGGCTGTGATTGGGGTGGTGGCGATCATGACGACGGTGTGGTAATGACAATGACAATTTGGCGGGATAGTGGCCATGAGGTGGCAGGGTTGGAATATGGTGGGGGTGGTGGAAGTGTGGTGGTGGTGATGGTGATGGTAGTGGTGGCAGTGATGATGATAGTGTGGCGACGGGGAGGCAGTGTGGTGATGGGAGAGAGAGTGTGGTGGCAGAGGATTGTAGTGTGGCGGAGACGTGATGTTGGTCATAGAAGTGTGACATCAGCAAGCATGGTGATCGATGGTGGCAGTGTAGTTGGGGTGGCATTGGTAGTGGCAGTGTGGTGGTGGATGCAATAATTACAGTGTGGCGGCAGGAGGAGGTAGTGTGACAGCGCAAGGAGACTGTGTGGAGACTGTGCACTATGGCGGCGAAGATGGTAGTGTGGTGGTGACGGTGGTGAGAGGTAGTGGTGGCAGTGTGGTGGCAAGGGAAGACAATGTGGTAACTCAAATTAATATAATTTTAAAAATTAAGAAAAAGGTTAGAATCGGCGTATTAAAGATAATGTCATGCTCTGTACCCCTATTGATGTCAACAATATTATAACAATACTAGCTAATTAATTTTAGATACATTATAATACTAGAAAAATCTGTGATAGTACTAAAAAACTATTAGGAGTAGTTATCGATTTGTTGAATGGATCATTGGTTGAGTTTCCCATATGATTTTCAAGTCATTACTCCCCATTTACTCCCTCCGTCCTACTATCTTTGTCCACTTCTTTAATCCATTTGATTCTTCCCTCGGTTTCCATTTGATTTCTCCGTCTCCAAGCATCAATACCAACGCCAAAACCCAGAAACTTTATGGGGCCTGTAAACTTCAATAAGGGCTATGGCGTAATAGAAGATCCGGCGGGGGATCAGCTCCCTCTCACGCCGCGCAGATCCGCTCGGAAACGCCGCCTAGCCGCTGCCGTTTCTCTCCTACCGTTCCTGACTCTGATCGTCGGCGCGGTGTTCGTCGTGTTGATCCGCCGGTCCAGCTCGGAGGACGGCATCTCGCATCCGTCGACATCGTCGCCGGTGTCCTCCAACCCGGCCGGATTTCTCAGTACCGTTTGCGCGGTGACTCAGCACCCGGACAGTTGCTTTGATTCCATGTCTCCGTTCGCGGAAGCAACGCCCAAACCCGACCCGGAATACTTCCTCAACGTCTCCCTCCGGGTTTCCGTTACCGATCTGGTCAACTTGACCTCGCTTCCCAATTCCCTGATCTCGAAGGTCAACGACCATGGCGCCCAATCGGCCCTGCAGGACTGCGACGGCCTTTTCGCCGACGCGCTGAGTCAGCTCAACGAGTCGGCCGCGCTGATGAATGCGGGCCCAGATGGAAGGGTCGTCCTGACGCCGGCGAAGATAAGGAGCATGCACACGTGGACAAGCGCGGCGATGACAGATGTTGACACGTGTCTGAATGGGTTGGATGAGATGAAATCGACGGTGTTAAGTGAGGTCAATGCGAGGGTGCAGAGAACGAACGAGTACATGAGCAACACCTTAGCTATTCTCAATAATGTACAGAGCCTTCACGAGAAGTTTGATGGGCCGATGCATTGAATTGAATGAGGGTATATCTTTTTCCTTGCCTTTATTGAATTATTGTAGTGTTCCAAAAATATTACTTTCTCCGTTCTAAAATGATCTTGTCCGTTATTATTTACATGATCAAACTTTAATTATTTTCTTAACTTATTTTCATTAGTCATTAGATAAAATAACATAGTCATGTCATATCTTGTTTTGTAGAACTTTGTATGTAGTTTTAAAATATATAATTCCTTCATTCTCAAAAACACTTCCTCTTTCATTTTTTCCACTTTCAACAAAACACTTTCCTTTTCTATTAAAAAACCACTTTTATCCTTACTTTTTCATACCCTACCCATCACATCATACTTTTTCTCTAATAATCTATCCATCACATCTTACTTTTACCCATCACATCAGGGGCAAAATTGGAAATCAACTACTCCGTATAATTTAACACTTCCTTATTTTTGCTCCAAATCAAAATGGGAAGGGTTTTTCCAAACGGAAGGAGTAATTTTTATTTCTTAATTTTACATCTATAATCAAATAAATTGAATTAAAAATAATTTCAGTGAAACCCTATAAACTGAACTAGGAAGATCATTATAGGACGGAGAGGGTACAACACTTCACTATTCAAATTTTCACGAGAATTTTTATTTATTTTTGCATTTTCATTGATTATTTGATAAAATAAAATAATTTTGTCATTTCTTGTTTTGTAGAACTTTTGACATTGTTTTTAAATACGGAGTATGTAAGTTTTATTTTTTATTTCTATACAAATCTTTAGATAAAATGAATTTAAAAAAACTAAAAAAATTGATTTATTTAGAGAAATGTTGCAATCTTTTGGAAACGGAGAGATTAATATTTTTTTTATTTGTTTTTTTTTCTGCATTGCAGGATTGTTGTTTATTCCATGGCACTGACCAACCTTTCCTATTGTACTTGTTCAAATTTGTTCTGCCTTTGTAAATTCATTTCTATGCACATTTGGTTTCTGGGAATGCAATGTGTTTGTTCAATCGTGTAAGAACGTCAATGTCCACCAGAATGTCATGATGATCTTCATAAGAAAATGGTTATCAGTCATAAGAAAGTCCATGTACCAATGTGAGAGTGGTAAAGTTTAGCTTCTTTTGACTCACTTTTTTAAACTGATGAACAAGTTCCGAGATCCTTGCTCTTTCCCGCGGCTAGGTGGCAACGAGTAGGAAGGGGATTGAGGTTTGGTTGGCGGACATCCATCCCCTTTGCAGGTTCCCATCGTTGGTCTGGATTACAGGTTCAAGTACGATTTGGCTAGGTCCCATGTCGATCGGGCACTCAGGCAACTTCACACAAGTGTTAGTTTATGCTTTATACACGAGTTCCTATGGGTGATATATGGAACTTGAGGGGTTTGTTCCTCAAAAACACAGAGCCTAAGACTGGCCATAAATCCCATGATGTCTCATAAGCCAACTCAAAGTCCCCAAAGGGACAGAGTTGGTCTCGGGTTTGTTTACGCTGCAGGTTCTGAATCGCAACTTACTCTGAAATTCCATAGGACATTATTGCCGACGACTGCCTCATAAACCTCGGGCATAATGCAAGTCAATCCAGTGGCACATTGCAAATCCTAGTCTGTGTACTTAAGTAGCTCTTAATTGTAACCCGGGGCGGGTCGTGGGCAAATTAGGGATCAAATTTCTCTATTTCATAGTTTAATCTTCGAATTTTTTAAAGGTGAGACTAAATTAATTCCCAAAATGGCTTAATCCACGCTCTTTATCCAAATTTGTTAAATCCACTCCCACTCTTGCAAATTTGTTATTTCTCATCTAGGGAACAGATTTAGCATATTTAAGTGAAAAGAGTAGATTTAGTCATTGCCTTTCACAAAACATATATAGCCATTTCAAAGCACATCCCTCTTCTTTTGAAACAAGAAATTAGTGCCATAATGTGAGTTTGTGACACCAAGTCCTAGCAACGCTCTCTTTGACTCTAAAGTAATTTCTCCTTCATTCCACTTTAAATCGTCAAATTAGACCACTTTAGGTCCAATGGAGCATTCCAAGGACTTCAAATGAGAGTGTCATAATATGACAAAAACTTAGACCGTTCAAGCTTCAAGATGGAGCAATATGTACATATTGAACCAAATAAAAATCACACATTAAACTTCTCTTGCTTTTTGTCTTTGGACGAAGTTCCAATAAATACACCAATACATCAACTTCAAGGGTGCAACAGAAATGACATCTATTTTTCGCAGCGATAAAATTGCTAAAATTAGTTTGTATAAAGACGTGTATAATACTCCGTAGTAACTATCTAAGTATCATCGTACACCCCTCCGTCCCATAAAAAAAATGCCAGGTTTCATTAAGGTACAATTTTTTTCAATATGAAAATGGTAAAACTATTAAAAAAAAGATGAAAATTAGCATCTTTTCAATAAATCTGGCTACTTTTTGGAGACAAATATATCAAGAAATTGAACTGCTTTTATGAGACAGAGGGAGCAAAAGCTATACATACTGATGATGCATATCTGAATGAAATTTCCAACATCAGGCTTTTGAACACCCAAGTTGAAAACTGCGAATCTTCATACTCCCATCAAGTGCAAGTGCCAGCAGATGTTGCTCCTCCACATACCAGAGTTCGGTCATTGTTGCCTAAAAGATTCAAAGATTTTAACTAAATATAAATAAGCAAATAATAAATAATACACACTCCTTCCAGATTTTGTTGTACACTATTCAGAATCATATTTGGTAATCAAATTGTCGTAAATGATAAAAATACCCATATTAGCATTCATGCCAGCCGCATTCCATACATAGAAAGACGCTCCCTTAATTATATATTTTTCTTCCCAATTTGACGGTCACAATTATTAAGAAAAATAGATTTGTGTAGTTGTGGCTGATTAAGCAGTGAAAAAATGAATTCAACTATATAAACACTTGAAGCAATGTAGAGTTTAGGACAACCCAAAAAGGAAAGTGGAAGGTAAGTCAGGAAGTATAATTACGATGAAAATAAAGAACTTGTTTAAAACGGACACCTTTTGGAACAAAAAAGCGTATAAAAAGATGTACAAATGTAGTGGCATTACATGGGTTTACAAGAGCAGTACCTTAAATCCATGAATTTTGCTGTTTAATTTAGTTACAAGCATGTTGAAAAACTGAAGTTCGGAGAGATCCTTTGCTTCCTAGAGAGAACAAATGGCAATAACATTAATAAAATCACTGAGCACAATGCTGAGAACAACTAAAATAGCAGGGTAACTAAAATTAGGACTTCTGAAAAAATTGCAACACAAACTAGGAAACCTAGAGTGACTTTTTAATGCAAAAGTGACTTTTTAGGGGCGTGGAAAGACTTTAGGATAAAAGTGACTTTTTAATGGAAAGTGGAAAGACTTTTTAGGACGAAAAAAAATGAAAGGGGAAAACCTATTAGGGACAGGAGTACAACACCAAAAAAGGTTATATTGTGTAGTAGAGATTTATTTAAAGAGAAACACTATAGAACAAGAACCACAAACCCAATATAATCCCAACATCGTTGAGGTGGAGGGGAGGGGGTGTGGAAAATCAAGCTTTACACCGCCCAAAACTTCATAAAAAAGTAAGAAAAAAGGAACTATAATGTGCCATTTTGATATAGTTCATTATTTACCCAAAGCTATAATGTGTCATTTTCTTCACAAATCCATGATTTTACACAGCAGATCTTATCATATGTGACAGATATAAACCATCAAGTTGGTAGCATGTAAATCAATTAGCCACACCTAGAGGTAAAAATAGAAAAATTCATGTTGTGGATAACTTGCCTCAGCAAAAGTGGTGGGAGGGCCCAAAAGCCTGGCAAATGAAGTGTGAAGAATAACAGCATCATACTGTTCCATAAACAACTATTCATTAGAAAATTCATGTTAAAGTTGACCGATAACACAGGTTATACCGTTATGCACACATTTATTGGCTATCAAGTAAAATATCTGGAGTAGGCGAACTGTAGCCGAGCCTAGTTTAAGGTATACTTGATAGGTAAATTGCATGCTAAGATTTAAAGGCATTTATGTTGTGACTTAAAAGCCCAAATGGTGTCAATACCCTTAATAAACATGGAAAGAATCTCATTCTTAAAAAACAGGGGGAAAATTACAGAAAAGACAAAACCTCTATATTCTCTACGTACTATTTTGTCTGCCTGTTTAATAATGTTAGTGTGCAATCTATTGCTAGAGAATTAATTTGTGTGAAATATATTTTGAGAGGATCAATTAATGTTCACTTGATTTGTACAATGAGTCAATGAACCTAGTTCTAGCCAAAACAATGATATGATAATGATTTTAGTGATGATGTCATCATGACCTAAGAAATGATTAAATAAATGATGCCATCTAAAAAAACAATTTCTAATGTGTATTTTTCAGAGTTAGAATCTACATAGAGTAATAGGAAAATATATGTTGTATGCATAACACTTACAAATTGCTTCTCTGGTGCACGAGGAAGAGCGCTTCTCAACCTGTCACGTACAGTTACTGGATCAGTACCTGAGACAACCTGCAACAAAATGCATTCAAAGGGGTCATACACGAGCGCGCGCGCACACACACATCTATATGTACTTTTCTTTGTTAAAAACATTAATGATAACTGGATATCTTGCTAATGCGAATGAGAGAAACTGTATGAACAACATTGTTTTCCATATATGGAATTATGGAAATAGGCAAGTTGAATTGGGACGGATGAAAAAGAAAAACAAGCAACTTGATATCCAGTATACAATTGCAATTTCTGCTTCAGCCGAAAGACACGATTGACAATTTTCCATTTAAAAAGTGAGCATGAAGGCTTTTTTTAAAGATATCCAGTATTCTAAGTATATGTATCTCGAACAGTTCAGGAGAAACAATTAATTCTAGAAAGATGGGGTAGCCCAACTGGGTTACACCCCTCACTTAACATGCACACTAAGGGTATGTTTGCTTGGGTGGGAGAGAAGGGGAGCGAAGGGAAGTTCCTCCCCTTGGTTAAAAAAAATTGGAAGAGAAGGAAGCTAAAATTTTAAGTCCAAATGACCAAATCCCTCCCATCCACTCCAAATGGGGGGTTTTCATTCTCTTCTTTCCGTTTCTCTAGTGTGGTCTTCTTCTTCCTCTTCTATTCTTTTTCTCTATCTCATCTTTTTCGTCCTCTCTCTTTCTGTCCCACCATCTCCTTCTTCGCCCACCCTCCCGTCTCTATCTTTGTCTTCCTCTATGCTCTCTTCTCTTTGTCTCCCTGAAAGTTTTACTTTTCTGTACGCACATCCTATTTCACTCTTTGAGCCTAAAATTGAGCGAATGAAGGGAAAGACAGAGATGAAGGCCAGCAAAGCTAGGAGAAAGAAAAAAATTCAGAAAAAAATCAGAAAATGGAGAAAATTGAGCCATAGGAGAAGTCTGACTGAATGAAGAGTGGATAAAGTGGAAAGAGACAGAAATGAAGTCTGGCTAATTTTTTAGCCAATTGATTCTCTTTTCCCAGTGTCTCACTGCCTCACTGGACTTTCAAATCTTTTTGTACTTTCCTTCCCCTTCCCCTCCCCTAACCAAACAATGTGAAGGCCCTAAGATTAATCTAGCCAAGCTCGGAAACAGTGTATCAAAAGAAACCATTCTAACTTCTATCATATTTTAGAAAACATTATGTGTCATAACAACCATTTCAATGAGCATGTAATATCTGAAGCAACACCCAATATTCTGAATGTACAAATCAGAAATATCAAGAGAATCTGGTGTTGCACATTTGCACCCTACAAAAAAGTTATAGAAAATGTTGAATAGCTTGAGATCAGGTATTAGGCTACCAGGAATCTGAAATTTAAGTCTTTTATCAGTTATGAGTAATTAGCTATCGAAAAACAAAGTAATTCATGAAAAGACCTGCCAACAGCCTACAAGCACACCAGTTGAGGTAAGAATGACTCTGTCTAGAACAACATTTAATGGACATATGGCCTCCGCAACAGCTTTAACAGCATCCGCTTCAGCTTCAATCTGAAAATGGAAAAAATGATGGGCATAGTCCACTTGATGAACAACATACCAAAGAAACAAAATCCATCAGATCCAATAGAATGTCTACCTCCGTTTCTGATGCAGGAATCGGAGTGACATGGTGTGAGGCATGAAACATGCTGCAGTGGTATGTAGTGGAGTTTTGAAACCAAATTGCTAAGACAAAAACAGATAAGCATTACAAGAAGCAAATAAAAGAGGAACAAAAGACTACCAGCAATTCTCTTAACTAATTTAAACAGCAGTTATGTATCTCTACCTCCTTCTACATGTATGTGTGTGTGTATGTGCCTGTGTGTAAACATAAACAGACACATACATTTAGATAGTTTAGGAGCACAAAGTTTGACGATGAGCAACCTGGATCATAGTACATCTTGATATTCAATTATGGTGTCAGAAACCTGAATCATTTTGGTTCTGACATATTTATAATTTCTCAAGGTGGGCATAAAGAAGGTGGAATTGATTGTTGTGAATTGGAAATTAGGGGGGTTTCTGATCTAGAAGGGTCAAATTAGGGGGGTTTCCGACATATTTGAGACCTATTAGTATGACCTCCAATCTAGAAGGGTCAAATTAGGGGGGTTTCCGAGCAATTTGGATCTCATGTGGGTAATTTTAAAACAACCTGGAACATGATGTGAATTGGATGCATAAGCATGTAAGGAGCCTCATGAGAACTTGTCCTAGTTATATTAGGGTAGTTTGATTACTTTTGTCAAAGAACCAACTCAACCAAAATCTTACATTGATGGTTAGTGGTCTATGAAATGTTTTACACTCTAACACCTTTTGTCACGCAAATGCCCTATGGGCTTTAAACATGACTGCAAAAAAGGCTCTTCCGTACTTTGAACTCTAACAAACACTGTGCAACAAAGGTTTCTTTATAGTTCGTATATAAATCAAAATAGAACTATTGAGAATTGAACTCGCAAACTCTAGGAACCAATTCATCCAAAAGCTTAAACTGGAGGCTAGCTACCCATACCCAAAAAGGATTTTATACTCTAACATGTTTTCTTACGCAAATGCCCTATGGGCTTTAAATGTGACTGCAACAAAGGCTCTTCCATACCTTGATCTCTAACAAACACCGTGCAACAAAGGTTTCTCTATAGTTCGTACATTAATCAAAATAGAACTATTGAGAATTGAACTCGTGACCTCTAGGAACCTATTCATTCAAAAGCTTAAACTGGTAGCTAGTTACCCAAAAAAAAGTTTTATACTCTAACATGTTTTCTCACGCAAATGCCCTATGGGATTTTACACATGACTGCAACAAAGGCTCTTCCATTCCTTGAGCATATTTAATATGGGAGCAACAGAGAATTGAACTCGCAACCTCTAGGTTAACAAGGCTTTGAAGCAATGTCAAGGAACCAATTCAACCAAAAGCTTAAATTGATTGTTAGTCGCCCAAAAAATGTTTAATACTCTAACAAATTTTATTATCTTATTTAAATTATTGCAATTATGATTGACATTTTAAGAAACGATAACATTAAAAAAGGTGGAAGTGGCATCTATCGAAGATATGTTGTCAGAGTATCGACAACAGTGGTTTCAACACATGCAAAGAAGACCTAGTAACACACTGTTAGAAAATAAATGGCTGGATAAATGATTTTTGTAAAAGAGGGAGACCCAAAAAACACGTGGGAGGAAGTGATTAGGAGTGATTTTTCTTACGTGAAATATGCACAAGAGGGTGGCTATGGACAGAAAGGAATGGAAAGAAACCATATTTTTGAATAATTAAAAGGTGATTCTCCTCTTGATTCATGTAGCACAACCCCAAGTTACTTCGATTTAATGTTATTGTTAGTGTGTGGTAGAACATGTGAAGTAAATGACCGGAACAAAGGCTGAATGTGATTACGCATGTGTTGGCTTACATGGACCGTCCATTTTGGAGAGTTGTGTATGATGTTCCTGAGTTGTCTGGTCACCTTACCTTGGTGATTGGAGTTGACAGTGTTTTTGAAGTACTGAAAATAGATGGGCAATACTAGTTCAGTAAAGAAAATAAAACTAGGAAGGAGAAAAAGATAAGGCTATGATATCAAATTAACTATCAGATTTAAAAAAGACTAACACACTTCTGATTACTTTTCTAAGATCATAAAAATAATAAACCAATTACACAATGCAAATGCCCAAACCCTTCATTTGAGGGACTCGGTATACACAGAGAAGAAAAGCAAAAAAAACCAAATAAAGTTGAACATGAACAAAGAGAATTCACCGAACATTAGAGCTTGAAGATAAAGGTTACTTAAAAAATAAAAAGATAGCTTACCTTTTTCAAAGTATGGTGCAAACATGGTCCTTACAGCCTCCCTATGTAACAATATCGAATAAACTATACAAACATATAAAAGGAGGAGGCAACTTCCAGCAAGGACATAAGAGAAAACTGAGATATTAAAGTGATGTTACTAAAAGAAAACAACATTTGATGATTTTAATAGGCCTGGAATATATTGACCATGGCCGGCCTTTTTAAGAATAAGAAGTTACATTTAACGTATTAACCAATATAATTAGAAGTAGATAACCATCACATCTTAAACCACCCCTTGTGTAATTTTCTAGACATTGGTCGAGGTTCAAAGCTTATATCCTGACTCTAGGTCCCCCATGTCCCTACTGATGTACTCCCTCCGTCCAAAAATTATATTCCCGTTCACTATTAACGGGGTCAAACTTTTTTCACTTTGTTGGCCTATTTTCGTTGCCTATTTGATAAAATAATATAGTCTTGTCACCTCTAGTTTTGTAGATCTTTTGATGTAGTTTTTAAATATGCAATTTTTATTTTTTAATTTAATACCATTTTTCATGTAAAATGATTTGAAAATAACTTGAGTCGAATATCGTAACGCGCAACGGGAAGATAATTTTTGGACGGAGGGAGTACCAAAGATACAATGCTCATTTTATAACTTAACTATTTCACAAGAATATGCAATTGCAAACCCCTTAAAGCCCAAAAGACAGCATTTTGTAATTAGGCTAATTAGTAATGTTTCGCTTAAGAATACTTCCCAGCCTCGGAAAGAATGCCAAGAGAGACAAGCAGAGACATACTTACGCTATATAGACAGAATATTCAACATCCAAATGTAACACATTTGCTCGCACAGGGGGGTTTGCAGCCTAAAGATTAAAAAAATCAAAGTCACTTCCTTCATCTATTCAGACTTCCAACTAAATCAAGCTGTAAGACAGTTAAATTTACCTTCAGCACAGGAGTGACAACCCCATCTTTGAGAGTGAACAAATCCGACAGGGCGAGTGATTGAGAAGTTTCTCCGTGTTTAAGGAAAGCAGCACCGTGCTCCTCTAAATCCCTTTCCATCTTGTCATACAATCTCAATCTCTTTTCATGATTCGAGACGGAGCATTCTGTAGCCATTTCATTGCTCATCATTCAAGTTTCTAGCGAAGCACTAATTTCAAGATTCACATATTCATTTAGTAGATTTATCAAAAGGAGAGAAAAAGAAAAGGATTCATAAGCAGAAGCACCAATGTATTCTGTTAAGAACAACTTTAAAATTATTCGAACTAATTTTATTAAATCAACCATACTACAACATTTATTTCTTTATTCCCAACATTCTTCATTGACTCTGTTCAGCTTATATTGCCAAACTAGCTCTAATTTCTCCAATTTATTTCCACTCAGGCTCTGTTTGGTACACGAAATTCAAACTATGGTAATAGAATTGGGGACAACAATTCCAATTCTGCTATTTGGTAGCACAAAAATATGTGCATTTGGAATTAGTAGTACCAAAAATGAATTGGAATTGGAGAATTCAATTCCATCCAAATCAATTCTATAGAATTTCAATTTCCAAATCAGTCAATTCCCTGTACCAAAAGCGACCCTCAGTGTTACTTTTGTAGTTCTTTTTGTGCGATGTTTTATGATTGCACATTCCCATGCTTATAGTCTATTTCGAATTAGCACACTATTAAGCACAAATTAAAAAATGGAAAGGTATTCTTCAAGCAAAAAATAAACGCAAAATAATCAGAGTCTCAAGTGTACCTGATGAATTGTGGATGGCGATGTTGAAGAGAGCATAGAAGGTAAGAACACAGAGGAACCAGATAAAAATTGCAGGTTTGGATCTGGAGAACCACTTCCTCATCCGGACCATGTAGCCTTTCTTTTAAAATGCAATTGGAAGTGGAATTTGTACTAAAAAAAAAGCAGTGGAATTTAAAACTTTATTTTGTTTAAACAAATGCGTGTCTGATCCACCAAAACATAACTCCAGGTTTTCCGAGAAGAACTACTCTTCTCAAAAAAAACTGTAAAAATGAGTAAAAAAATTGATTCAAAGTCAAAATTAGTGTAACTAAAGGGGTGAAGGAGTGTGTTTGGGTCGGGTGGTGGGAAGTTACAGAAAATTACTCGCGGGTGACGTGAGTTTTGTGGAAATAACTTTCAGGTCCTTCTATTTTTAAAAAGACAACCAAGGTCCTTATATTTTGTTGTAATGACTGAGAGGGGACGTTTCATCCAATACATCATCCGTAAGTGTTAATAAATGAATTTTTTTCCTATTTTTCCAATACTTTTTTTTTCCTATTTTGCCATTACCTTGTTTTTTTAAAAAAAAAATTTTTATTTCATTTGTTTTAATATAATACAAACAATTTTGAATTTCTATACGATTTTATAGAAGAAATTCTAAAATAACACTTTAAAAAAATAGTAACAAAATGAAAGAAAAACAAAGAAATAAAAAAAGGAGCGACCTAAGATTTATTACCTTAAAACATTTAGAAAAGAATAGGAAAGAAATACATTTATTAACGTTTATAGATGAAATATTGGATAAAATGTCCCCTTCCAGTCATTACAACAAAATGTAAGGACCTCTGCTGTCTTTTTGAAAATAGAGGGACCTGAGAGTTATTTCAACAAAACTCGCGTCACTCGTGAGTAATTTTCTGTGGGAATTTACAGAGAAATAGGAAGCGTCAATTTTACGATCGGAGCACCGTAGTAGCCCCGATGCATCGTATGACATGGGATTCCAATATCACGGCAATCCCTCCGTACTTCTGGGTACTAATGTGTAGTGTTCCTATAAATAATTCTTGAAAGAATAATATTTGAGAGAACTTCTCTTGTATTTACAATATGCACAAAAACTGTATATACTAGATTCATACCCGTGCGTTGCACGGCAAGTAATTTATTTTAAAATATATAGAGGGTGTTTGACAGTGCGCTGTTTTTAATAATTTAGCTTCTGCTTTGAGTGGAGTGATTTTACTCTATTTGGCATGTCAGCTTCTGCTTTTCACCACCACTATTTTGTATATAGAACACCGTTTCGGAGAAGCATATATGAGATGCTTTTACTTTCAGCTTTTATGGAAATCACTTTATCCACAAGCTAATCACTCGCAAACACCCTCATAGTATGAGAGTATAATAAAATAAATGTCTATATAAAAAAGTTAAATTTAGATTGAAATATATGACAAAAGTATTCATGTTGATTTCGTCGAGTTTACAGACAATACCATACTTAAAATAAAAGAGTATATAATTAGAATTTTTTTAAAAGGAAAGAGATTTTGTGAGCTTGGATCATTACATAAAAAATAGTGAAGTATATATCATAATAGAAAGTAAAGTAAGTATCTTAGAAAAATACCCCGTGGTAATCTTAATAGATGTCCATTAAAAATATCTCGTCTCTTTTTGACATGACGAATATGATAAAATAAAATTAAAATACTCTCATAGCTGTAAAAAAATTCACTCACCTTATTTATTTTCCAAAAAAAATAATGCACATATTGAGGCCATTTAAACATACATATCATTGAGAAACAAAACTATGCTAAGACGTCTCAATACTCAATTCAACGACCCACCAAAGTTAGCAACTATTTCGAATGTGATATTTACACTCTCTATCATTCAAGAAATATGAAAGAAAAAGAAAAAAATGAGATGAAAATCAACTTTAAAGGTTTGGCTAGAAATGAAAAACAAAAAATGAAGACAAAAGAAAATGAAAAGCCGAAATAAACTAAGATGATAGAAAATTGAATTTCTTCCATTGGAGGGGTGGGGGTGGGGGAGGGAAAATCATTTTTGTTTTCTTTTTTCCAAATTTCTATGAATAAAATATAGGTTTTTAATAATTTTTTTAAATATATTAAAAAAATATATAAATTTTTTTAATAATTTTTTAATAATTTTATTTAAATATATAAATTTTATTTGTTAATTATTCCATACCAATTTTTAAATAAATTCAATTGAAATTTTTTAAGTCGAACATCTCAAAAAATAATACTCCCTCCGTCCCGGAAAACATGAAAGTTTTGATTTTGAAGAGAGATTTAAGGAGAGTGTATTTTGGTATTGAATTTCCAAAAATGTCCTTTGATGTGATGGGTAAAAGTATGATTTGATGGATAAATTATTAGTAAAAAGGTATGATGTGATAGATAGAGTATGAAAAAGTAAGGGGTAAAAGTGACTTTTTAATAAAAATGAGAAGTGTTTTTTTGGGACGGATAAAAAAAGAAAGGAGAAAGATTTTCAGGGACGGAGGGAGTATGTGATTTAAATTGAGAGAGATTAATAAATAAAATAAATTACAAATGCAAAAGTGTCTAATGGGATAAGCAAAGCGTTCCCAATTAATGTGTGCATTAAATAACACAGGCGGGCATGCGACTTGTCAAATACCGAAGTGAGATATTGAGATTAATCATTTAATTGTCTCCTCCCAATTAATGACGATGACATTAATAACTCCTGCATTTCTAACAAATCCACTGCCGTTGATTAATCAGCAATGGCGCATCAATGGTGGCTATTGCATGGCTCCTTAGGCGGGAAAAACTCTGGACAGATTTTCTTTTTCTAATTTTTTTAGGTCAGATTTCTTTTGCTTTTGTATATAGTATAGATAAGATCCCACATGCTAGAACCTCTATATAGAAACTAAATACAAAAGAAAAAATACAAGAAGAAATCAGTATAAATCGAGAAACAACCACATACACAATAATACTCCGTAATATATACGAAAATGTATTATTTTCTTTAACACCCCCCCTCCCCCCCCAAAGTTGGAGCATGCAAAAGCGAAATGCCTAACTTGGGAATAAGAAACTCCAAACGTGATTTTCCTAACGCCTTTGTATGTATGTCTGCAACCTGGTGTGCAATAAGATGATGCGTAGGAATCAAATTGCGAAGGAGTTCATCACGAACAAAATGTGAGTCACAAGTAAGCAGGACCCCAAGAGAGCGCAAGAAACTCTTCAACCATTTCAGACATGACTTGGACCAGTTCTAACAGACTATCCAGTCCCAAAAGATTCATATTTTTTATGAAGATCGGACTAGTCTAGAACAATTTTAAATGGTATTGGTCTCTTCAAAGGGTGATCCGATCTCATCCTTTTACTCACTTCTACCTCCAATCCACTACCTTATTATTAAAAAATACTCTTTAGAAATTTTGAAAGCTATATATAAATACAAAAATAAACTATAAGAGAGAAGCCAAAAAATAGAAGCCACTTTAATTTTCCTCTCCCACCCTCTATATTTAGATTTAGATGGTACTCTGCAACCTCTAAACACACTCGTACTCGTACGTTCTTCCTCCACTCATCCTCATTTACATTTCTAAACCCATCCTAAGAGCATTGGAAATACGTTTGAAACCCAGAGCTTCAAATCTGGGCTTCAAACCTTTTTTCTCTGTCACATCAGCGTTAATTCTTCTTTAACTTACCTCACAGTTTCAAAGAAAATGAGTTTGAAGCCCCAAAGCTTTAAACCTTTATTTTTTAAACAATAATAATTTTTTAAATAAAAAACTTACATTAATAAAAAAATTAATAATAACAACATAAATAAAAAAAATTAAAAATTTCAATAAATTACGAAGAATTTAATGATTATTTAAGCGACCAAAAATATGTTCAATCAAATCCGTCGTTACTGCATTGTGAATATCTTGGCTTCAAATAAAACTGGTGAGATTTGAACATCCATGTTATAAAGACTTGTCAAAAACAAATGCTATGGAAATCGGAACTCTCGCTTGTAGGTTTCAGAGACAAGAAAGGAATTCTCAATGAAGTTAATTACTTCAGAATTCCAAAGTCCGGAAGACTCGAGTTCTACCCGGAAGTCTCGCAGTCATCCGTGTGAAGGCTAGCAATCCGGATATCTATGTATCGGAAGCCTAGCGCGAATCGCTCTGTCAGACACTTTCTCACCCGGAAGTCTCAGCATGACTTATTCGTATCTATCAGAATCAAGAGCCGGATTTCTTAAAGGACCGGAACTCTCAAACAGACAAGTGAGAAAAAGGACTTAGAAAATTAATCTAAGTCATGATTGAAGGAATTCTATCCGTTACCAAGGAAAAATCAACTCTTTGATTTTCAAACGGCTAGACTGAGGATAATTCAAGTTAATTCGAGAACAAATGATAAGAAGACAGAGTATGGATTTTCCAGTTAAAGAGCTAAGCTAGAAGACAAATGTCATGACAAAGGAATCAATCTTCAACAAAAGCTTATGTCCAAGAGAAAATTTCCAAGGACAATCCTCACAGACCTTCATTCAAATTGAAGCCAGCAAACATAAGGTTAATATATTCCCTTCAACGGATAGATTAAACCATCCAGCCACCTATATATAGCTCCTACGGAAGATTGAAGAAATCAACCAACCTACAACTAATCATAGTTAACCAAGAGTGAAGGATCCTCAAAAGCTTGATAAAGAGAGCATTCAAAAAAAAACTCATTATCCAGAAGCAAACTTCTCCTTCTTCCAAAGAGCTATAAGTGAAAATACTTGAAGGTCTCGTTGCCTCAAGTACAACACTGAGTTGAAGGATATTTTTAATCAAGCATCTTGATTAAAACGGGGCACATCAGTTTTCTTATAAACTGATCTTGCAAGTCCTATTGTTCGGACCTTGCAGTTGTTGAAGAAGCTTGACCTTCGAAGGAACAACAAAGCCAGCATAAGTGCAGTAGCAACATTTGCTTTGCGAAGATATACCGTGCTTTCACTATTGTAATTATTAGTTCACCTTCAACAACAATTTACCTAGTGGATTCTTAGGATGTAGAAGGATTACCCCACCTTCGAACCTCGTTAAAGTTTGCATTTCTCTCTCTATCTCTATCTCTACTTATTTTTGTGATTATATTAACTGTGAAACTAATCGATCCATATTGGATTACTGCTCTAAATAATCCACCAAATTCCGCACACTCAATCTAAGTTCCCAAGAACTTTAGATTAACAACTATTTCACGTTTTCAAAAAGAAACGAAAAAGATTTTAAATTTGTAACAAAGTCTATTCACTCCCCCTCTAGACTTTGTATCTCACCATTTTGGGGACCATCAATGTCGTTGTTCAAGCTCGCAACACCAAAAAAAAGCATGCCCAAACCACAAGTCATTTGAAGCCAATGCTTGGAGCATAATAGTAGGTTTGGGATGAAGACAGTTTTTGCATTCCTAATGCGTGCAATCGATGCTCCAAAGCATGCAGACAAGACGTGTGTAGCGGCATGTCTCGCTTGTAACTACTCACTGTTGCTCGCCGTCGGTTTACTTAAATATGTCTTATGATATAGTCGAATAATAGCTTTAGAAAATTTATAAACACATGCCCTGATGTTTCAAGCCGACATCTTCAAGTATTCATCGAACATATCACTAGCGGTCCAGTACGCCATCTAACGAAGCGTGGCGGTGCACTTCTGGACGCTACTAAAACTGCGCCAGTCTCTCGCATCAAATCGTTGGGTGAACCAAGGAACCCCGCATTCAATATCGGCGACTATGCCTAAAAATAAAGAAGAGCTCATCCAAAAACAATTAGTAAAATTCTCCGGTGTGTAAACACACGGAGTATTGAAGTAGTCGTGTTTCATGTGTAATCGTCCAACCATGGTTAAAATGCTCACGTCGAGTCTAGCATTAGGACGTTTGGTAACAGCCCGCCAAGAAACAACGAAAGATGAGAGCTCTTCTTTCACCGTTAGATGAAGATGGTCCTATTTTTGGGGTTTTTTTGTAGAAAGAATTAAAAGAAATAAATTTTTTGGATGAATTATAGAGAGAATGAGAATATGTTGTATATTTTTTTAAATAAGGTGATATTTATGGTTAAAAAAATAATTTTTTATTTTTTAAATGTGGCCAACAGCCTATTTCTTGTGCAGCACCCTCACCCAATTATTTTTGGATTCAAAAAATACTAGAGGTACGCTAAAAGTGTACTTCAAATGTAAACGATCCCCCATCACTACATACTCCTTATTTCTCCATTACTACATATTTTGACATGTAAATAAAAAAAGATATAAATAAATATAAAGGAGGGATAATGGAGGGTAGCAACTCCCGGATTCAAATTTTGAGATCATAGAGATTCAATCAAACTCGAAGCAAATCTGAAAGGTTGATGCTACGATGAACTCAAGGTAGCAGAGTTCAGGTCCGGGTGCTGGTTTGATTTCTTCAATTCTTTATTTTATTTATTCTATTGTTCATTCCCCAATTTTTCCGCTGTAACCGTGCCTATCCGGATCTCTTAAAAGGGCCGGACTCATTCCTTTAGCTTATTATTACTCATCGGAATGTTTGACTGTTTCAGCATAGGTTAACGAAAGAAAGATTGTGCAATTGACTCCGCCAGACAAAAGGGGTAAATCTTTTTCTTTTCTCCCTCTTTTACAATTTGCAATTTGTGTTTGTAGAATTGTAATCTGTATATATATGATCGGTTGATTGAATTGGAAATATCAATATAAAATGATTAAAAGTTGCTTCCTTTTTATTTTTCCGTGATGTTTTTCCCCTGTTTAGTTTGGAATTCTAATAGTAATTTTTCTTCATCATCTTTTTTATTTCTATTTGGTGATTCACTGATTTGCTCTCTCAATCATTATTACTTCAATTTACTAACCACATAATTTCCCATTTGAGCATTAAGTAATCCACACACTTGTTCTTGAGCAACAGATCATGTCAGTGAAAGAATATCGACCGTTCTTGGAAATGCCGTCTTCCTTGCTATGGGAAATTCTTGGTAGAGTTCCCATTAAGACATGTTTAGCATGTAAGCTTGTTTGCAAAGAATGGTATCGTAATGTGATCAGTCCAGAATTCTCTTCTTTCCGCCGCCATTGTATACCCTCCCGGTTTACCATCGTGTTTCATGAAGACAGGTGTTGTGGGCTGACTTTCAATTTTGTTGAGATTGAAAAGGCTTTGGATGTCGATCCTTTGGGTAATTGTACTGTGGGTATTCATGATCAGATGATGGTTGACCCAAAAATTGGCAGCAATGGAAAGTATTGGTATGTGAGGTCTCATTGCAATGGGGTATGCTTCCTAAGTACAAAGAATGACAACTTCATATGCAATTTGCTCACGGGCCAACATGTGTATTTACAGAATCAACATTTTTGTGGTTCTGAACTAGGGTACTGTCCGGTGTTAGGCCAATTCAAACTTCTCATTCTTCTTTGGGACAAAAGAAAGAAGTTCCAATTTGCAAAGATACAAACTTTGGGTAATGGCGAATGGAGGAGTCTGGGCAATGCACCCTTGAATATTATGCAGGCTGGATGTTTTTTGAACGGGTCTAGTCATTGGTGTGGTGACAACTGTATATGGTTCTTTCATTTTGGAGAAGAAAAGTTCTCACAAATTCCAATTCCATTTCCTGATTTTGACGTCCCCAAGGCCTTTAAGAAGAAGACGAAAACATTGAGCATATTTGACTCTTGTCTTTGTTTGAGTTGTTTCACTGGGAGTGGTTGTGTTAAGATCGACATATGGATAATGAAAGAGTATGGTGTGAAAGAATCTTGGGTGAGGCAACTTGTCATAGTGCATGATGCATGGAGCGTGCCTCTAATGCCTATGGATAATGGAAAGATACTTATAGAGAGTGGAAATCGATTATATTTATATGATCTTGAAAGCCAGGTTTCTAAGAGAGTGAACTTCAATCACAATGGGTTTCAGAGCGTGGTGCTGCCCGTGGGATTTGATGCAAGGTTCTCGAGGTTTGATAAATTCATATGATGTGCGAATGCATACTTATGTTACTTGTTGCCTAGTTTTTAAATTTATTAACTGGTTTAATTGTTTAAGAGCTTGTTTGAGCTAACTTATATGCCTTCTCAATTTAGCAAATGATTTTTGTTTGCTTTTGTAGGATAATTAAATGTTGATTTAAGTACTGTGTTGTTTTTGTATGATTAAGTATAAATTTCTACTCACATGTTTGAGTCGCCTTTGATTTTGGTGCTATTATGTCTTTCTGTTGGCTGGTATTAATGTATTATTTAGACAGGAAGAACAATTTTTTTTTTGAGATAGTTTCTATCTGTACCAAATGGGAAATTTGTCTTCAACAGGTCTGAATTTAATTCATCAATTCTTTTGCCTTTGGAATCCAACTTTATGGTAGTTTCATTAGGACTTTGTGAGATAAGGATAATGGGTAAACTTCAATTTGCACCCCAGTGGGAAGAAATTTCATAGGTTTCCATTATATGAAATGATTACTAACTTGAGAGATACTATCTATTAATGAATCCAATGAGTAAGTCCCGGTTTATTGTAATCTGTGTTTTAGTTTATTGTTTTAGGATTCAATTTCATACTTTTGAGTTTGCTTGTATGTACTCCCCCCGTTTTTCAAAAGAGTTCCTCTTTTGACTTTGGGGGAAAATAAGGAAGTGTTAAATTGTAGTTGACTTTCCAATTTTGCCCTTGATGTGATGGATAAAAGTAAGATGTGATAGTTTAGTTGTTAGTGAAAAAGTATGATGTGATAAGTAGGGTATGAAAAAGTAGGGGTAAAAGTGGTTTTTTAATAGAAAAGGGAAGTGTTTTAAGAAAAACAAAAAAATGAAAGAGGAAGGGTTTTAAGAAACGGAGAGAGTACTAAGGTTTGAAACAGAACTGAATATAGCTCCTGCAGGTTGTTTTTAATTTCACTCGTTTAATGCCTTCACTAGTAACGGCTGACTCGTACTAACATCCTTTGTTAAGTTTTTGGCTTTAGATTTGTAATATGACACCCCAACTCGTAAAACCCTGATTTACACGGGTCAAGGTGAGATGTGGCTAAACTTTTTCAAACACTTTTAAAATTAATAAATCAACTCAATAAAATCAGAAATTGGTACGGTTCGTTGACACCGGGCTACCTTCCCACGAGTGCTGAAAAAGCAAGTGTGGCAAATATCTTGGGGACGGAGGGAGTATGTTTTACATAACATCATGCTTTAGCAATCCACGGTTAATTCTTATGATCATAATATAATCTAGACTAATGCTACTCCACCTACTTTATTATGAATCGTGACAAATGTCACACTTGAACCAAATGAATTCTTCTTTCGTCCGTTGCACTATATTTGGTTCAAGGAATTTGAGGGGGAAAGAAAACAAAATGAAAAGGAAAATATTTTTCTTGTTTAGTTAGAGAGGAAAAGAAAAGAAAATATTTTTCTCCATTTAGGTATTTTCCCTTTGCAATGTTTTCTCCCGAAAGGAAAAGGCATAGCCATAGCCAGTCTTGAACCTTTACACTTATTATCTGAATAAAATCCCTTCTCCTTTTTCTTCTTCTGCCTCACACCCCCACCCCATCTTCCAACCACCACCTCCCCCTTTCCAAAATTCCATCAACGCATTTTCACCACTATCGCTCGTCAGGTTTTGTAGACTCGAAGATTATGATTCCTTACAATTTGCTTCCTCGATGACGGAATGAGATTGTGGGTCAACGACTCGCCACAAAAGGGAGGCAGCAAGAGGCACAAAAGGAGCGGCAACGTTGGGAAAAAAAAATCTATGAATAGAAGGAAAAAGACTTTCACTGTATCACTTAAATTAAATAAGAATTTTTGCGACCAAGCATTCAAAACAGGGGTTTTCATTACGCCAAATAGGAAAACCATTTGGAATAATAAAACCGCGCCTTTATAAAAGTTTTCACAACACAACCCCTCTTGTAGTTGTGATCAAACCGCGCCTCATAAAATGGAGTAAATTACGGTTTCGTTTTCCTTTTTACTAAATCACACTGATAGAGTCCGAGTCTAGGAAAAATGAGACATACACAAGCCTTTATAACTAACCTTAGCTTTGAGGATCCTCTGCTGATCCATCACCCCTGACCTGGTGAAAAATGCCAAGTAGAAGAAACTGGTTCCTAACTTCTTATATTACACGCACGCTAAGTACTTTTTCAGCAAGAAAAAGCACTAAACTTCATTTGTGCGGCAAAGGGAAAGCATACCTCTCTGTAAAACCTAAAGGGGTAATTTGACAGAGCACAACAATTTAAAATAAAAAATTGTGAATGGACATTTGGTGAATATCCATGAAGGCAAAGCCACACACTTGGCAACAAAAAATTAAGGATAAAAAGATTACATGATTCACACATTTGTGTACTACTCTGCACACAGGTGAAATTCAAGAATGAATGTTTTACATACCATCACATCTTTTTACAACATTTTTTGTTACATACCATCACATATTTTTACAACATTTTTTGTTACATACCATCACATCTTAGAGACAAGTGTCCCTAGAAAGCAAAAATAAGCCTACAATCCACACAGGATCACCAAGGTCAGTCACCCATCATACCTGTTCTGGAGGTCGTTTTAGTTGACGTCTAAGCAATTCATGTATCCAACAAGAGTTCAGATGAGTACAGCCTCACTGTTGAATTGAAAACGAAGAGGGTAGAATTTTATATGGGTTGAGAATTCCATTAGGATCAAGCAACCTCTTAACAGATGCCATTAATTGTACCTGGACAAAGAGCAAGCATGTGTCATCAAAGCAGATATTATAGATCATAATTGTGTAGAAATTTAGGTTCAGATTGCAATGGGTCCATTGCGAAAAGAGTTCATACACACGCACAAACACTTCACATAGACTTGATGCAGTCACCTACTTGATGCAATACAGTAATGTCTCCTTTATTGACTGGTTGACAGATTTAGTGGTGAGTAATTCTAACAATAGTTATAACTCCTCAAATGCATATTTTATAGAGATTCCTGGAAAACATCCTTTTAAAGAAACTCTGAAGAAACACTACAATCTATTTCTTGTTTTCTTCATATTTTCTGAATGTTGAAGTTGCAAGTTTCAATGGCTGAATGCAAGTGAACACTTCTAGTAGTTGAGATTTGAGATACCATGGAAAAAATTGTCATAGGTTGGACTTGTACTTAATCATGAGTCATGACATAATACTGTTAAGGAATGCTCATCACTGAACTCAACTTCTCCCTTCTCTAACTTCATTAGTGTTACGGTAAACAATGTAAGCCCCCAAGGAAGTATTTTCCCAAACACTGTTACCTTATGACCAGTATTGTAGGCCCACAAGGACAAATTTCCCCTACATGTGTCTAACTCTATTCTTGCTACCTCACGGTCAACAATGTAAGCCCCCAAGGAAGTATTTTCCCAAAATTTATGGGTGTGTGGCATTACAGGTGGAAACATGAAACATCACGTATATCAATGACAAACAAAGAAAATTGCAATGAGTATTGATATTACCGTCTCCGATGACTTGCTGTAATGAATTTTATTGGCTTTCATTAATCCAAGTCCATGCTCAGCACTGATGCTTCCACGATGTTTAGATGTCCACTCATAGACGAAAGGTTCGATTTGCGACAAAAGCTGCACAAAAAAGTATGTTGACCTGATTTAGCAAGTGAACCTTCATAAATATTGATGAGCAAACTGAATAAAGAAAGACATGAATACATTACATTGTCATCATACTGTGGCGCAGATATATTAAGATGCAGGTTTCCATCCCCAAGGTGACCATATCCTACCACTTTCGCTCTAGCATCTTTAAAATTTGTACCAATGTCAGGATATGTGTGATCTTCTCATGTCTAATTCCAAACACACACACCCACAATCCCAAATTAATTGTTCATTTCAAACAACGTGCAAAATCTTATCTCTTTTAAAACGAATTTATTTACAAATTGGTATACAAATACAAAAAGTACAACATACATATTTAATAACTACATCAAAAGTTCTACAAAACAAGTGATGACATGCCTATTTTATTTTATCAAATGATCAATGAAAATGCATACACAAACAAAAGTTATCGGAAGCCTGAAATAGTAAAGAGGCCTATTAATTGTGGACAGAGGGAGTATACATATATGGTATCAAAATGGACAAAAGCTAAGGCATTATATTATAAAGATTGAGTAAATATATTCCTCTAAGATTTTTTTTCACATTGAAAGTATGCTTAATTACCATACCATATGAACACAACACAAGCACCCTGATGCAACTACATCAGGTGACGCGCATACATGTACTGCCGCTGCAAGTGGTAATTTTCCTCAAATAGATCACACATCATAGATAGATAGTATTAGGGCTGTAAATGGCTAACCAAAAATTTGATTATCATCTGTATTTGTTTACCTGAAAAATATCTACATCCGTTTAAAGCGGTTGTTATTTGTATCCGATTAAGGACATCCAATTGGTAAAGGGATACAGATTTGGTAATCATACATCTGATTCGTTTATAATCCACTCCGCATGTACATCCGTTTGAATAACCATTTATATGATCCGTTTTATAAATATAACGACTTCTAGACTCCGTAATAAATAGTAAATTAATAGTTATAGTTAATAATTTAGTTTTTTTCGATTAGGGAAGTGAGACCATAATATATTTCCTAATTTTTTATTATTACATGCTATTTTCTATTTCTATCTCATAGTGAAATATACGTATAGACACATAAATGTGTGTAGTGTGAAGTATGTTATTCCTTTTACCATATATGGATTAGAGTTTATGTTGAAAAATATATATTACAAATAATAAGAAAAATATTACCCAATAGCGCAAAATTACAATTAAATAAAGATATTAAAAGTATTTATATACTCTATTTTTAATCCTATTTATTTATATACTCTATAGTTTAGTTTAAGGTTAAAAAATAAGAAGCGGATACGGATATATTTGATATACGACCAAAATCGGACGGATGCAAATACAGTTTTGGTATTTAGCATCCGACAAGATCCGTATCTGAATTCGATATCAAATAAAATTAAATTGTCTGGTAATGACACATTTGATCCAATTAACATCTTCTTACACCCCTAGATAGTATTGAGTGAGGTGTGAACAAACAAAACTGTTATATAAAGCACAAAGCTCAAAATTGTGGTTACCCTAAGTATCACTATATAAACATGCATCTTTAAACATATGGCAGGGAGTTAATTACCTAGACAATAACAACATCAACAACAACAACCCAGTCTAATCCAAACTCTGTTGGGTCTGGGAACCCTATACAAAAAGAGAAGCTATTTTCGTTAGACTCAAGATGCATTGCTGCATTTATTGCCCAAAACTTCATAGAGAGTAAAACACAAGGTATAATGTGTCTTTTTATTTAGTCCATTATGTGCCCGAGACTAAAACATTGTCAACGGTGACTCTTTAGCTATACAGCAATGGGCGGGAGTTAATTACCTAGACATGTTCGCATTTCCTCAACTAGATCATTCATTTTTTCAATAGGTAGTGACAAATCATATTTGTATACAGCTCCAGCATTCTTCAAAGCTTCAGGTATACCCTGTGATTTATGCATTGCCATGTTAATCGAATGAAAACATGAATGCATAAATGGAATGAGTGGGGGAATCAATGTGAACCTCGCGAATATGCCAGCATGATGATGCTTGATTTATATCTTGTGCAACAACTCCATCAGGTATCAAGCCACTTTCCATCGAGTCTAGCAAAAAGGTCTCCAATCTCTCCCTAGTTCCCAATGGAAATCCAGGAAACATCAATACGTACTTCCAACAGAGTAGGAGTCTTTTCCTTCAATTGTAATGGACTTGGCTTCTGATGACTTAGGGCCCTTGATGCCCACTTAATAAATTTTCTTTGGATTATAATAAAATTACTATTAACAAATACATTTATGACGCATAAAATTCGTGAAGCGTATTTCGTAACACAAATACAATGTAAAACTAGTAATAAAGTTGCTAAAATACCAAACAGAAAGTAAAATTTCTGGAAAACTCATGACCTAATAGAGTATGAGAAATGTAGTAACTTGATAGATATAGATCCAATTGAAGCACACTATGGGTCCGTTCCATTCAACTTACTTTTCAGCTTATTACTTATTCAAATTAAAATCAGATCAGATCAGCAGATCTAATAAGATCAGATCCAATCAAATCATACCAAATCTAATCATATTACATCATATTCAATCAGATCAGATCAAAACCAATCAAATTATATTTTGTACGATTAAATTAAATAAATCAAAAACAATATTTGTTATACCCGAGCCTAGCCCCATGAAACTCTCACTCACGCCTTACACTATCATAAGAACCAAAGGACTTATATTCAAATATTATGATCCATATTAGTTGAATTCAAAAGGACCTTAAACCCGAAAGGCCAAAACAACCTCCGTTTGACCCGAGGGTTCTGTGGTTTACTCCCATTTCAGTCCAAACCATCCCAAAACATCCAAAAACACTTTATACTTCCCTTTTTATTCAAATAAAGTCTTTCCCCTCTCATTTCAAAGCCCTTGGCCGAAAATGAGAAGATAATAAAAGCCAAAACCTTTGTTTGTTTCTTTTAAAGTCCTTTCACCCAAATAATGTCTTTCCTCTTTATTTCCTACAACTAGGGACCAAAATCCCTTCCATTTTATCCATAAATCAGGCCCCTTTTCAACTATTAACAAAGAGAAATCACCTTTCTCACACTCAGGATAGAAGTCATAAAGTTGAATAGTGAAAATTTGTCCTTTTGTTGACTTATTTCACATCCTTGCACCCATGATCTTTCCTTGTCATTTCTTACCATATATGGCCAAAATTCCTTACACAAAAATTA